CCACAATTTAATGTTTCTTCTAGAGTCCCTCCCGAAATTTCTCCAAGGCTCTAGCCCCTCGAGAATTACAAGTTTTCATAAAAGCATCTTCATATGATAACTTTAATGAATCATTATAATTTCTTGGGTCTTCAAGGAGTTTCCCCGTCTTGGCAGCGTCCTTTTTCGCGGAGCTAGATTTTTCCTTAGAGATTTCCTCTGGCAAAGACTGGTCGCCAGCTAGATCCGCAATCACTGGCGAGTCCCATTTTTTGTCTTCTGATTTGCCGAAGGATATCTGCCACTTTTGCATTCCCGATACTCAGCACCTGCAGCTTTCATTTTGTTGCAGTCGAAGATTCGATGACCCAGCACCCCGCAAAAATCACACGTGAAGTTGGTGTTTTTCAGACGTGGCCGCCCTTCGAACCTGTCGACTTCCATCGGGTCGGCAAAACTGGGGTGAGCCGAGCGGTTGCCCTGTCGCATACTGCCGACGTTCGCTCGTCGTGTCCCGGCGTTGACCATGTCAAAGCGTTCTGCTGCCGACACGACGTCACTGTAGCTCGCGTAGTTTGTCGCCGCTACCTGTTGTTAGAGTTCGGTCTTCAGCCTGGTGAGGTACGACTGTACTTTTTCCCCTTCGGTCAGGTCGGGAATGCGGTTATAAAATTCTTCCATCTGCTGCGTGTACTGTGCTACACTCCCGAACTGTCGATGGCGATGAATTTTTTCCCGGGCAAGGAAACCCGAATTTATCGGCTCGAAGAGTTTCAGCAGGTCGCTGCGGAACTGCTGCCACGTGGCTTCGTCGTAGATGAAGGTGCTGTTACCGCCGATCCACTCGAGTGCCGGCCCTCGCATCAGTGTTATCGCGAGTCGTACGAATTGTCCGTCCCAGACCGGCGAGCTCCATCTGACTTTGTGAAGTAGATCTCCATGCCGGCGATCCATCTGCGGGCGTTGGAGTTTCGAACGCTCGGATCGAACGGCTCAGGTGGGCGCAGTTTCGGAGCCTCAAATATTTGCTTCGACTGCTACGTCGTCGCCGTTATCATTTCGTGTTGCACGCCGGCGAATGGAGTTACTCACTCGAACTCGTTTCACCAAGCTTCGCGATCGGCTCGCATCTCCTCCTGAAGGGCGGCGATGCTTGTGAAGAGCTGGTGGGTAACTTCGGCGTTGTCGAAGTTCGCCATCCTGTTCAAAACACGCGCGGAGGGGGTAATTCGAAAAAACGCGGAGCTGGTGCTTACCACAATTGGCGTCGAATTGGTCGCCCCCGACGGTTTTTCGAGGCACGATCCCCGCTGCTTCTGCTTAGCTGAGCGCGGCCAAGTGTGAAAAGCTCTGATTACCAAGTGTTACAGGATCGAATGTGTCGAGGAAAGGTCCTACTATCGATTGATACAACGCGCTTTTATACTTCCAAAGTGCATCAGGTAACCTCGTCTATCCTATCCCAAGGGAATAGACCCTTATAGAAAATAGAATCACCCTGCGTATAGCCACGCGAGGCTATTGGATTTAAAGGATTACGGCAGGATTACGCTAGATATAGCGCGCCAGTACACCCCGAGGGTGGTCGGTAATATAATGATAATAACGGGATAATCCAAAGGTTTATGGAAAAGAAGGAATAGGAATCCAAATAGCATGAGATACTGACCAAATGAATCAGGATACAAAGAGGAATGAAATGGAAAGGGAAGATGGAAAGGAGAAAGGGATGGAACGGGGTCGTACACTCACACCTAACCTACTCATGATACCATGTTAGAATGATCAAATAATGGAGAATGGGTGAGTACAAGGGAATATAGCCTAGTGGGTTGTACTCTCTAAGGCACAACCCTTTATAGTCTACACCAACATTCTCACATCTGTTCGATAGGAACATCATTATGTACTGATGATGATAATGGCATAGGCGGTTTATCAAGAATGAAGTCGGGTAGGAAAGAGAAAGAGAAGTATATGAAAAATAATGTGTAGCTTGTTTGTTGGAATAAATATCGTGATGGCACCAGGGCTGACGTTAAAAAAAACCCCACCCTGAGCTGTCGACGTAAAAAAAGAAAGAAAGAAAGAAAAAAAACTAGAGGGCTCTGTTTTGGAAAATTGCCTACCCTGATCTGTTAGTGTTCAGAGACTTAAAACCCTGGAATTTCCAGGGTTCACAGAACGCAATCAGAGTCGAATTCAGCATGCCCCAATTGCCGCATTATCTCCTTTTGTAGACAGGGTCTTTGCTAGCCTTTTTTCTACGCGGTTAGACGAGGGGGGCTAGGGTGGGTGGGGGGCGGGGAAATCTATTTCTGATTTCCCAAACGATGTGAAAATAATAACTCTAACAAATCGGATGGCTCACAACTCAAGTGAGGGGGGGAAATCGAAAGGAGGGGAGGGGGGAATTGAAATCGAGGGGAAACGGGAGGGAATCAAAATCAAGGGGAGCGGGGAAGCGAAATGGAGGGGGAACGAGGATCAAAACGGAGGTGAGGGAGAGATCGAAATCGAGGGGAAGGGCGGACGTAAGTGAGGGGAGAAAAAGCCCTCGCAATTGGCCAATGAGCGCCGTGCGTGGGAGCGACTTCGCTCGCTTGCAGCGCCATGGAATTGACTTCAAATGGCAAGAGAAATCTGGGCCGTTAATCACGAGAATCCATCGACGATTGATAAATGTCGAAACAATCGCAATCAATCGTGACTGTCAAAGCGTGTTTGACTTTTAGTTATATCGCACGGGCACTTGGCGGAAATTCCCCTGAAAGGAAAAACTGCTGCTAGAGGCAAGGATTTTGTCATGCTAAGGCTTTGTCACTAGTACCCTTGCAATTAAGAGCGAATTGCCATGTATGAATTTCACTGCTCCTTTGGGTTTCCCAAGTTCTCACGATTTGTCGGGAGTAGGGGGGAGATGTTTTTTTTTTTTTTTTTTTTTTTTTGGGCATTGCACCATAAAAGATATACAACACAAAGATGACCTTCAGTCGTAACTGGTATGGGGTGATGTTGAGGCCTTCGCCAAATTATATGGGTTGCGGGAGTGTGGGAGGGGGAATGTCCGTACACGAGGACTTAGAAAAAAAAATTGGCGGAGGAGGGTGATGTCTCTGGCTATTAGGACTTAGTTGATATTTTGTGGGTTGTTGTTGGGTGTGTAGGGGGAATGTATGTACAATAAGACTTAGCCGATTTTTGTGGGTTGTTTGGTGTGTGAGGGGAATGTCTCTGGAGATTGGGGACTTTGCCAAAATTTCAAGGCTATAAGCCACATGGATGTCGCACTCAGGGTTCGTACGCATTGCTTCCTGAAAACTCAGTATTGGCATAATGCAAACCCTGAAATCTCAAGTGTTCAAAAACTTATAACATTGAAGGGGCTAGGGTTAAAAAAAGCCCAACCTTGAAAATTAAGGGCTGGACAAAAAAATACCCTGTGAAATCAGGTAACCATGATAAAATACCCTGATAACGACAACCCTCGATGGCACCCATTATGAATACCACAACACATATAATCGCTGTGAAAAAAAAAGTCGTAGAGATGAGACACGTGTATGCAGTACAATCATCTTGTTAGATTAAAGCGAGGCTGGAAATGTAAGAATACTATTCGCATTGGGCGCATAGAGGCCTTGCATTTTTTTACTTTGTGTTATAATTTCAAATATTAAAATGTGCATACTTGGATGTGGTTACAATGAGAACAACTATCGTGACCCCCTGCGTAGTCATTTCGAGCATAATCATTGTGGACAGAGGTGCACTGTCTCGTATGAGGTGTCACACGTTTCACATGTCCTAGCACATGCTGAAACCGGTAGAAACTACGTGAGAAGCCGGCTACTTTGTTTCAGCCTAAATTGGGTTCTGAATTAAGAAAAGCGCGATTTGGATGCGGGTCATGCGTTCTTGATTCCTCTGTATACTCCTTGCCTAGATCCATTGTTGCAATCTGCTTCAGCTCGACATTCTATCTATCACTGCAGATTTACCTCGACTATCATTTCTAGCAACGTACTCACAGCTCCAAATCTTCTGGTAAGCCCATGGACTTTCACTTAGTAACTAGCATAACTAGTAGAATAGAGACATTGCTCCCAGCATCGGTACGTGCCATATTAGTACCAGCGCATAGCGTTGTGCAAGGCGTGCTTGCACCCCGTTTGTCGCGCACCCAAGGCAGCAAGCGCATCGCTCGCTCCACTTCCACGGTGTCAAGCGCGACGCTCAACGCGCACCCGTAGAGGCGGGCGGCGTGGCACGTTCCCGTGGCGGCAGTCGGCGTGGCGTGCTCCTGTGGCGGCAGGCGCGGTCCTCATGCCGCTCCGGTAGCGGCGAGCGCGACGCTCGCTCCACTTCTACAGTGGCAAGCGCGGCGCTCGTCGCGCACTCATGGAGGCGAGCACGGCTCTCACCGCGGTTCCGTGCACTCTCGTGGTGGCGGGCGCAAGGCTCACCCCGCTCCCAGAGCTGCTCGCTCTGGTTCCATGGCTGAAGCAAGCGTGGCGCTCGTCGCGCACTCGTGGTGGGGCGCGGCGCTCACTGCGTTCCTGTGGCGGCCGGCGCTGCGCTCGCGATGCTCTCTCACCAATCCCTATCCCGCCCTCCCCACCTCCCCCTTTCCCCCCCGCCTCAATCGCCACACAGCCCCACTACTCTTTCCCCCCCTGCCCCTTGCCGCCGTGTATCCCCCCCCCCTCTCTCCGTCTCTGCCATCCCATTAGTTTCCTCCAGCCCACGCGCTACTACTTATGCCCGTCTCAGCTATCCACCTAATTGCACTATTTCTTTCTTCCTCCAAACCCTTTGCTTCCCTTCCATTGGGTGGGTTCTTGTTTCTGTTCATGCCTTCAGTATTCGCGAATGGTCATTTGACAAACTGCAAGCTCTCAGTATGTTCCCCCTCTCCTTCCCTGCATCTCCAATTTGTTCGTCTCTTCTTATTTCTGTCCCTCAATTTCTGTTTCTTCCTTGTTTTCCTGTTGCGCTGTCCACCACTCCCCCACTCTCATTCTCTCTTCGTTTATTCATTGCTCCCCCTCTCCTTCTCCCTTGGCGTTCCTCTTTCTGACTACCTTTTCTAGCAACTGTCCCTAACCAACCAATCTCACACCCTGGATTCTCCCTCCTTCCCCCCCCCCCTTCCAACCCTCCAATCTCCCATCCCAGGCACTACAACTGCCCGCCTCAGGTGCCCAAGCAATGCTGCTACCTCTTTCCCCACTCCGTCCCCCTTGCCTCCTCCTACATCAACCCCGCCTCTCGCTCTTTCTCATCCCATCGCTTCCCTTTATCCCATGCAATATCTCTGAGTACTTCATCCGCCAAGTTAAATGCACTCTCCCCTTTCCCCCTCTTTTCCCCTTGCCTGCCTCTTCCAAACCCCCACTCTCCCCTTCCCTCCCATCGCTCCTTCCCATGCAGGCAGCACTGTTGCCTGTTGCCACAACCCACCTAATTGCACTCTTACCTGTTTGCCACTTACTGTAACCCTCTCGCTCTCTCTCCAGGCCACCTGCTCTCCCCTTCCTTTCCTTCCCTTCCTCCCAGGCACTACTTCTGCCCTCCACTGGTGCCCACGCTATATCACTCTATCCGTGTCCCCTCGCCCCCCCTTGTCCCTTCCCCTCTCCTATTCCCTTGCTCCCTTTCATCCAGGCAGTATTTCTGCTTGCCTTAGCTGATCACACAAGTGCACTCTCTCCTTTCCCCTATATATGCTCGCCAGCATATGTTCCCAATCCCACTCTCCTTTCCTCTCCTTTCCCCCTGCCACCCTCTCTTCCAACCTCTTCTCTTTCATTCTATTTGTTCCGTCAATCCCAAGCGCTACCGCCATCGTCGTCCACCCAATCGCACTCTCTTATCCCTCTCCATCTCCCGTTCCCTTCAGATTCCACTCCCCCTTTTTCCCATCCCTCTCTTCTCTCCATCTCATTCATTAGTTCTGCCTGGCGCCGCATCTAACTCAATCACGCTCTGTGCTTTCCCCTTTCCTCCCTTTGCCTCTTTCTTGTCAACCCCTGTACATCCCATTTCCAAGTAAACTCTCCCTACACGGTAATCATCACTATTTCGTTTTCTCCAGTTTTGTAATGTGTACCCGCTTCTCGTACTTGAAAACGTTGATTCAAAGCACATGCTCTCCTTTCAATCAGCCAAACTAATTATGGGGAATCGAAATGGAGAGAGGGGTCTTTATAGCTCGCTACTCCCCTCATTGTCGCTCTCTTTCGCTCTCTCTCTCTCTCTATCTCTCTCTCTCTCTCTCTCTCTCTCTCTCTCTCTCTCTCTCTCTCTCTCTCTCTCTCTCTCTCTCTCTCTCTCTCTCTCTCTCGAACGGTCCTTCGTATTAACCTTATAATGGGTACAAGTGGCATACACTGGTGAATGTGAGACATAGGGCTCCCAGACATCCTACTGTTGCCCGGGCCACCCCTCGAAGGTAGGTTCAATTGTCGATTCAAGCTCTCCCCAGGTGAGCGGCTCGTCCATTGGACGCTCGTGGTGGAAGGCTCCCCCGGACGCCTGCCCGATCTTTGCATGCAAGGTAATGGCTTGTTGCCGCTGTAGTGTCACTGACCACCTCTGTCGGAATGAATGTATCAGCTTCTTGGTCACTGCGGACTTTTCGTCTGCGTGGTGATTCTCCCGGGCGGCTACTACCGCCAGCAGGCAGAGGAGTTCCCGGGTGTCGCTGCTGCAGCACTCGTATGTCTCTGTTGCCACCCCCAGGACTTTGACGAAGGTGAGTCTTTCGTCGTACAGGTCCCTTTTCTTCTCCTGCATCTCAGCCGCCATCCATCCTGTCCCCTTCCTTGCTGTTGGGTCCCGGGAGGAGATGGGGTCGGTGACGGTGACGTCACAAACCCATACCGCGCCTGAGTCCGGTTCTCGGAGGGTGATGTCGGCACGGCGTTGGGTCGTCTCAGGTAGGTATAGGGTCGACTCCTTGTGCACCACGAAGTGTGCTTCGCTGGCGAGGCGCGCCCCCAGGTTGACCAGTGCATTGTGTACCCGAATGGGTCCTCCGAAGGTGCACCTCAGTAGGTGGTTGGGCAGCCTCTTGTCCTTGAGCTCCCTCTTTTCTCTGCAGTTGCAGTTGTCGGGCAGGGAGTGCTGCAGCCCCATCCGGAAGGACAGGGCTGTGGCGAACTGTCCTTTGCTCATTGTGAGGTCCGGGCAGAAGGGGATGGCCAGCAGCCAGTCACCCACCCCCGGACCTAGCAGCGACAGTAGGCGCTGTGTGTGGCCCATGTTGGGGTTGAGGGCCAGTGCGCAGGAGTCCGCGACCAGATCGGCGTGTCGTGCCCCATGCACCTCAAGTGCAAGGGCGTGCTGCAGTTTTGTCGCCGACTCCTCCCGCGGCTGCCGCAGGACGGCTTGTGCGGCAGGTGGCAGGGCGGCTTCCAGGCAGGTGAGGAGGAGGTGCAGGGGGATTGGCGCGGTGTAGGGTGGGGACAGGAGGTCCCGTCCGGTTCCGAGAGGTGATAAAGCGGTGGTGTCGAGGGTGCGGAGAAGGTCGCCTGCCTGTACGGTGGAGGCCAGGTATGCGAATCCTACTTCCGCCACTGGGTCGAGGAGGCCTAGGCCTTTGATGGATATTGGCAGAGTGGACTGCCGCCAGAGGAGGTCCTGGTCCTCTGGTGTGTGTGGCTGTTTCAGGTTGCAAGCGGTCAGGGCGGCAGCCAGGAGATGTTTGCCCCACGCTGTCCAGTCGTGGGGTGGGAGCGTGCCTGGTGGCGTCGTCCGGAGCAGGTAGGAGGCTCACCGCGTGACGCATTTGTTGAGTAGCAGCATCGCGATCTGCGGCTGGAGTTGTTCGAGTAGCGGGAGCGCTGAGGCTGCTTTAAGCAAAGCCGCCTTCATCACGTGCTCGCACCTCGACGGTGTCCCGATGGGGCTGCCGAGGATGCGCACAGCGTCTGTCCGGAGGGGTATCCCCACGGGGATGTGCTCGGGGTCCGCCGCTACTGCTGACCAGGCCCCGCATTTTGCGGGGTTGCATTCAAGGCCTGCTGCTGCTATACGGCCGCTGAATGTGTAGAAGGCAGCAGCACACTCGGACGGCGTCCCTATAAAGGTGACATCGTCCGCGTACGCCAGCGTGAGGACGTTCAGGTATTCCTCGGCCGTCAGCTTCAGGGCCGGGTGCATGGCCAAGGCGAATAGTAGGGGACCCAGGGGGTCTCCTTGCCGCACCCCCCGTTCGCTGCTGAGGGAGGGGGTGCCGTAGGCGGGGTCCAGGAGGAGGGATGAGGCCCTGCCGTAAGAGAGTCTGGCCAAGGGCAGCAGCCGCTTGAGAGGGCTGTTCCTGATGGCGGAGAAGAAGGCCAGGCGTTCAACAGAGTTGAACGCGTTGGTCATGTCCACCTGCAGCACCAGGTGGTCCGGGTGCAGTTGTAGGTGCGAGCGTCCGACGTGGATGACGGTCTCGCCTCTGCCTTTCACCGCCACCCCGTACTGGAGGGGGAGGAAGTGCTGTTGGGCGGTTTCCGAGAGGAGCGAGAGGGTGGCCTTGCCCAAGATGCGAAAGAGACACTCCCCCACTGCTATGGGCCGGACCCCGCCCCCGGGCTTCAGGAACGGCAGCATCTTCGATGTGGTGAGCAGCTCTGTTGCCTCTAGAGGTACGTTCCCGGCCAGCGCCACGTTGACTAGCGTCGTAAGGTACTAGAGGACGTCGACATTAGTAACGGCACTTTCGCAGATGTGCTCGAAGCACATTCCCGTTGGCCCTGCACCCACGCCGTTTGGACAGCGGGCAGCAGCAGGGCTTTTAGCTCAGCGACTGTGATGGCGAGGTGGTGCTCCTCGGGTGTCTCAGCATCCGCGCCAGTAATGGTAGAGATGGCGGCTGAATTGGCGGCTCTGGCTTGGTGTTGCTGTGGTTGGGTCCACCCAGGAAGGGCGCGTTCAGCATGTGGGTGTTTAGCCAGTAGGGCGCTAAGTATTTCCATGCTCGGCTCGCATACAGGGGTGGACTCGAGGGCCTGGAGCGCTTTGCCCGCGGTGTCGTTTGCGTGCTAAAAGATTCCCTCATTTAGCCAGGGTTTCTGCCCTGGCGAGCTGGCCCGCGGTGTCGTTTGCGTGTCGTGGGGGCTGTGGTAACGCCACCGAGGCGATTGCCTCGTCATAGGGTGTCGCCCATTCCCCCTGTGGCGAATTCCCGCAGACGTCGTAACATGCTGTCCCAGTCGGGTTTTCTCCTCGAAGCTGTTGCCAGGGTTAGGTGCGGCAGGAAAAGGAGCAAGCGCCATCCGTTTTGCGAGAGGGGTGCCCGGGATAGGTGTAAGAGCGGTGTCAGGAGGCAGGAGGCGAAAGCCGCCTGGATTTCGCGTGGGAGGTGTTGGGCCAGGGGTGGTAGGCGAAAATCTTGCAGCTTCGCGATGTCCCACTCCCCGACGTTCGCGAACAGGTCTTCGCGCTTGGCGAGTGTCAGGGGGGAGAGGATACACCTTGCTGGTGTTGACCGGCGAGAACCTGCCGGGCCGCGGCGGGTGTTGGATGGGGCGGCCCGTCGTGTGGAATGTGCTGCCACATTCGCGCCTCGGGCAGGGGATTTGACCAAATCTTCCCCTTCTGAGTCACCTTCCCAGGTTACCCCTGCTGGGGGGGTATAATTGGGGTCATTTGTGTTCTGATCATCAGCGGCTGTTCCAACTCCTTCTTCCTCCCCAGTCCCAGCCCTTCCTTCTCTAACTGCTCCACTTGTTGTGGCTGCCCCTGCACTTCCCTTCGCTAGCTCGATATCGGCCTGACCGTCCGCGGCCACAGCGTTGCTAGTTGCAGCTGTATCTGTCTCGTCGCGCCGTTCGTTGGCCGGCTGCCCTGTTGTTGCCGCGAGTCTGTTCGCCTCGCGCTGCAGTCGTTCCGCGGTACGGCGGAAGGAGCGGCCTCCCTTGGCTGCCGACTTCCTGTTTTGTCCCGTCTGTTTCCGCCCGCCCCCGATACGTTTGATCGACATTGTTCGCTCGCGCGCCGTCGGGGCGGTGCGTTGCGCGAGTGGCGGTCTCACGTCCGTCGCTGCGCCTGTCACCCAGTGGTGTCTCTTCTCGTGCGCGCGCGCACGCTCTCCAACAGCTGCAGCGTTCGCAGCCCTTGGAGGGGGTGGCCCCTTGTCCGCCATGTCCCCGCTCCCCTTCACCGGGCTCGCGCATGGGATCTCCCATGCGTATGTTGCCTCCGCGACCGTTGCATCGTGGCCTCCGCCATCCACCTTCTCCTCCGCCGTCCCGGTCCCCTCCTCCTCTGCGTCCTTCGCATCTGTCATAACCCTCTCCACCCACTCTGTCTGGGCTGCCTCCTCCTCCTCCTCTTCCGCCAGCGGCACCACCAGTCGCTGGCGGATGTGGCGGTGTTGCGGGTCCCAGCAGGCCCAGCGATTCTCCACCGGAGCCGTCGCGGCCCAGCAAGCGTCTCCGCAAGGGCCATCTGGAGGGCTCTCCGCCAGCATCACCTCCCCCCGCGTCGCCTGAAAAACGAAAGTCGACTCCTCCGCCTCCTCCTCACCTCCCCCGTGGGTCGTGGTGCGGGGCTGCGCGGAGCCAGCCGTTGTCTGCGTCGGCGTCGGCGTCGCATGGCGGTCCCGCGTCGCGTCGGCCTCCGCCCCCCCCTCGCGCTGCCCCTCCATTGTCATTTCCGTCAATCGAGGCGGTGGCTGGGGTCGTCGCCTGTATCGGCGCGGTGGTGGAGGTGCTGGACTGCCTCCGCCCTCCTCCCCTTCCCGCTATGGCTCGGAAGCCGGATGGCGGTAGGTCATGGCGGCCTCTGATGTCACGCCGCCAGCAGCGTCGCGCGATGGAGGCCGCGTCGCTGCTCCTCTGGTGGCTGGCCTATGGGTTGCCGCCAGAAGCAGAGGCGGGGGAGCTGGATCTGGCCCCCCGCGCCATTGATGAGCTGAACAGGGCGCTGGTAGCGAACTAGCGCCTGGCGATCTTGGCCGCTTGTGCGGCTGTTCTGCGGGCGTTGGAGAGCCGGGCCAGTGCCCTTGTCCCGTCGTCCGTGTGAGAGCTGTAGGTGCTCGGCGGGGGCCTGCCAGGGAAGGGCTGTCCTCGCTATGGGGCACTGGTGGCGGTGCCGTAGCCATGTGTGTTAGGCTAGGGGGGAGCCTCCCCTTGAGGCATAGGTGTAGCACTTGCGCTGGTGTGTATAGTGATGTACTCAGGAACTTCTAGTCTGCTCCCCTCCCCCCCCCTCCGCCTTCCTCTTACGCGTGGCCGGAGGCCGCGCCGTGAGCGATGGCGGCCAAAGGCCGCCGGCGCGAACGCCACTTCCGAGGCAGTGAATCAAACCAAGAAGGAACTAAATAATGAGCTCTAGGATGGGAGAGGGAGCTTTATATACCATGGTCTCTCTCTCTCTCTCTCCCTCTCTCTCTCTCTCTCTCTCTCTCTCTCTCTCTCTCTCTCTCTCTCTCTCTCTCTCTCTCTCTCTCTCTCTCTCTCTCTCTCTCTCTCTCTCTCTCTCTCTCCCTCTCTCTATCCCCCCCCCTCCTCTTTTCTGCTCTTAATCTTCTCTTATTTGTCTCCCTTTTTGTTCCGTTTTCTCTTGCCTCCCTCCGTTCCTTCCATACCAGGCACTACTTTTGTACACCATCTCTGCCGACCTCCTTTACAGGATTGAACCAGCTAGCAACTGTATCTCTCGAACGTATGTTTATGTGATACCTTAGAGATGGTGGCAGAGACCACTGAAGCATCTGCGTGTCATGAATTGTCCCTATTTATACTAGCATCTCTCAGCTTGTTATTTCAGTAGGTACAAATTGTACTTGTTAAGTGAAATATCCGTATACGTTTTTGGGACGGTTCTATAAAAAATGTTATGCGCAGTGCTTCAACTGTGGATTATCACTTGCACCACTTGTGGGGCTCAGAGAATTTGTCATGTTCGAGTACCTTCAGAAACAACCGTACATCACGCCCCTCTGACTGGTAAGTCTATGCTCGACTTGGTATTGTTGAGGATACATGAGATGTTGGTTGACATGTTCGGCTTGTGTCCTCCAGATGCTCTGTTCTTTATGCAAGATGTTACAATGCAATTGCTATTCAAGGTTGAGCGATGAGCGTTGGGGCTAAACCATGCCAATTGATGAGCATGGTTGCACTAGAACCTTCTGGTTCTCACATCTCATCCGTTTCCATCTCTCTCTCTCTCTTTCTCCCTCTCTCTCTCTCGCTCTCTCTCTCTCTCTCTCTCTCTCTCTCTCTCTCTCTCTCTCTCTCTCTCTCTCTCTCTCTCTCTCTCCCTCTCTCTCTCTCTCTCTCTCTCTCCCTCTCTCTTTCTCTCTCTCTCTCTCTCTCTCTCCCTCTCTCTCTCTCTCTCTCTCTCTCTCTCTCTCTCTCTCTCTCTCTCTCTCTCTCTCTCTCTCTATCTATCTATCTATATATCTCTCTCTCTCTCTCTCTCTCTCTCTCTCTCTCTCTCTCTCTCTCTCTCTCTCTCTCTCTCCCTCTCTCTCTCTCTCTCTCTCCCTACATCTTTCTCTCCATCTCTCTCTCTCCCTCTCTCTCTCTCGCTCTCTCTCTCTCTCTCTCTCTCTCTCTCTCTCTCTCTCTCTCTCTCTCTCTCTCTCTCTCCCTCTCTCTCTCTCTCTCTCTCTCTCCCTCTCTCTCTCTCTCTCTCTCTCCCTCTCTCTCTCTCTCTCTCTCTCTCTCTCTCTCTCTCTCTCTCTCTCTCCCTACATCTTTCTCTCCATCTCTCTCTCTCCCTCTCTCTCTCTCGCTCTCTCTCTCTCTCTCTCTCTCTCTCTCTCTCTCTCTCGCTCTCTCTCACTCTCTCTCTCTCCCTCTCTCTCTCTCTCTCTCGCTCTCTCTCTCTCTCTCTCTCTCTCTCTCTCTCTCTCTCTCTCTCTCTCTCTCTCTCTCACTCTCTCTCTCTATCTATCTATCTATCTATCTATCTATATCTCTCTCTCTCTCTCTCTCTCTCTCTCTCTCTCTCTCTCTCTCTCTCTCTCTCTCTCTCTCTCTCTCTCTCTCCCTCTCTCTCTCTCTCTCTCCCTACATCATTCTCTCCATCTCTCTCTCTCTCTCCCTCTCTCTCTCTCTCTCTCTCCCTACATCTTTCTCTCCATCTCTCTCTCTCTCTCTCTCTCTCTCTCTCTCTCTCTCGCTCTCTCTCTCTCTCTCTCTCTCTCTCTCTCTCTCTCTCTCTCTCTCTCTCTCTCTCTCTCTCTCTCTCTCTCTCTCTCTCTATGTTTTCTCCACTAGGTTTTGGAGAAGCATGGCATCATCATTAAACTCTAGCGTCTTAGTTACCGGTGAGAGATCTAATGGTGAGTATGAAAAACAGTACAGGTTAAAATTTTGGCCGATTATTCGAGATGGTAATTGCGTTTATCGTAGCTTATCCTTGTGGTTGTTCAGTACACAAGGTAATTACCCAGAGGTGAAGCAACGCCTTATTGATCATGTGGCTTTAGAATGGAACAACCCGGAATATGATTATCCGACCATAGCAAACACTGCGAATAGGCAAACTTTTGCCACCGGTGACGAGTATTATGCACACGTCTCACGTCGTTACGAGTGGGGCTCGATCACTGAAGTGAAGGCCTTTTCGGTTGTTTTTTATACAAACTCAATTATTTGGCCCTGCACAAGTCATTTTATCGCATGTTTCCGTGCGAGTGCATCTCGACCAGTGATGCATTTACACTTTGATTTGTCAGCGGAGCACTATTCTTTATTGGTGCCATCAGAGTTTGGAGTTGTGTATGGCACTAGATATGTATCAAAAGCACGCCGTATGTCATTTCTAGGACCGTCTAGTAATGATGCAATGCGAGACGACTGACTAGATGAGACAAAGCTCATTGACGTTCCAATGACCGCTCTAAGGAAGAATACATTGAGTGGAGTCTTTTCACATGACTTACAACGTCAGATGAGGAATAGTAAGTACCTAGATGAGAAATGTTGTGATATTGATAAAGGTGTATAGCAACAGATGATGAATGATCCTCTGGAAAAATGGTGCAACACGGTATGTGGCAGCAACAGTGTTACTGAGCATACTGTAAGCATGGAGCTAGAACAAGATGAGTTCGGAATGTGCGAGGATTTGCGTGATCGTCATGTACCTGGAAACCGGGTAAGCAATGGGGCACGTCCTTCTGTGGTGTGTTCTCTCGCTTTGTCGGATGATGCCTCTTCAAAACTAGGATCCAAGTTGTCCAATGTTTTGGATGATGGTTATCCCTCGGTCACTTCATGTATCAAAGATACATCTCGTGCGGTAAGCACAATGGTTACATAGAGCGAGCAAAAGAGGATGTCACATCTGAATGGGCCACGAAGTCAGGTACGAAAAGCTCTCTACGATCTTCGAGATCAGTTTTGCATCTGCAAGTCAATGTTGCAGTTACAAAATTTACCAGAGCCTCCCTTCATCGGTGTAAGAGCAACTGATCACGGCTTCAAGTTTGTTGTAAAACACCATAAGAAAGCGTACACATATTTGGGCTTTCAGCATGCGTTTGATGCTGCTTATAGTCGATCATATTTTGTAGACACAAAAATAGGTTCGTAAAAAAATTATATGTTGGACGTGAATTTCGGATTACACGATGACAATGGCGCTCTTATTCCGAATGAGTTCCTGGATGTGAAATTCAGAAATGTTGCCGTTAGCCCATTTGCTAGCACGGAAAAGAAGAGTCGATACATGGAAAAGTTCCTCAAAGATTGTAATAGTGGACCTGAATAGAATGTGCAGTGTGTGGTACCTTAAACTTCGAGCATAAAATAGTACGATCAAAGTCTTCAAAAGCAGGGCAATGCGTGTGTCGATATTGTGCAAAATATGAAAACAACAACAAGGTATCACCGTTAGCTGCACTTAACGAGAATGGCTTTCCTTCAAGACCAATCATACTCCAAGACCTAACATCATTAGGAGAACGTCTGTAAGCTCAAGTATTCCCTTCATGAAGATTTCTTCCTTATCTGTCGATAAGCAATTTGGTATATGTGGTGGAGTCATAAATATTCCAGTTGAAGTAGACAAAATGGTACTGTACAATCATTACCACGTCTGCAAAATGACTCACATATGGTTACAATACGATTAAAATGCAAGATGGAGTATAGAAATAACGCGTACGAAGAAAATGTACAACCGACAATGGTTCGTAAAGTGTTGTAGTTCCTATGCGAACAATACTTTACTAGCCGCTGTCACTTGTCGGCCACTTGTCTTTCACCGGTACATTTACTCATTTCCTTGCTATTTTGGATCTTACATTTGCTGAATACATTTTGGTCATTCATTCTACCCTCAACTGCGCACCTCTTATTCTTCGTCGTAAGGTGAGCGTGTTCTATCGTTTTTCCCTTTTCAAGAAGAACCGAACAATCTCGAGCAGGTTATGGAGATGTATGACATGTACAATGAATCAATTGTCGAGAAGGAACTAGAATATACAAAAGGAAGTGATAGTTGGGCACACACATTCAAAGAAGCCGAGCTCAATCATGGCGAAGAAATTTCAACTAATTCTAAGAAGTTAGATGATGATGACGATGATGGTGCCGTTGATATTGCACATGAGTTGAACTTTCAGGAACGTCCTGAAAGCCAGATAGATGTATTTGTATGCATCGAGGTAGACGATTCTGTTATAATCACAATAGGCTCAGATGTGCCTAAAATGAGAGAAATTGTGCACAGTCAGAATTCCGTCAGACAGCTTCAAATATTGATGCCGATCTGATGTATGCCTCAAACGGTGATCTGTAAATTGAATCTGGAGCGCGTTGGTGTCGCCTATCAGCAGCAAGTTGAATCATAAAATTCCATGAAGATTTGACGATGCTATGGCGGTTTGACTGGCAGGAGGTATAGTAGCCACTACAGTCTTGGAAGTACAAACTTAGTAAGAAGAATTCGAGATAGAGATGGTTCCCAGCCTCTACATACCCCAAGAGTCGAGGTCCAGGTTGGTGGTACACCACCACAGAGTCCCCAACCATGAAGAGTCTCGAAACAAACCCTCCAAGGGGCTACACCAAGTGAAATGTAACACCACGAAATAGCGTTACTATTTCCACTATTTAATATTTATCCGCGTCCCTTGGGCTTGAAATCTTGAGCTCTTGGTCTTGGGTCAGCAAGATGAATTCTTCTTGAGTTGTTGGAGGCTTGCTGCACACACCTGCGACACGATGGACACTTCACACTCGACAAAATAGAAAAAACACATGCGACACGCAAACGACGACTTGACATGCGAGTTGTGAAAACTCGCTAATGTCTTGACCGACACAAACCACATTGTGATACACCATTCAAACACACACACAAGCACTAGATAGCAATAACATAGACTCACAAGTCATTCCATGCCATGCATGCACACACACAAACAAGGACGACAAGCCGAGTGCAAGCCATAGGGTTGCACCAACAAACTCCCCCTCGGATTGTTGGCCTTAGAATCTGCTCCCCTTAGTTCAGAGCCATCCCAGCAAGCTTGCAACACTTCCAATGCTGCTGCTCAACCAGCCTCTTGGTCATCATATCAGCAGGCTGTGCCGTCGTCTTCACGTAGTGCAACTCCACTTCACCCGAGGTTACCATGCTCCTCACCCAATGCCACTTCACATTCATGTGCTTGGTAAGGCCATGAAGAACCGGGTTCTTAGCCAATGCAATAGCACCCTGGCTATCACAATAGAGTGGGGTAGGTCCTTGCTGCTCCTCCCCCAATTCAGCTAGCAAACGCCGCTGCCACACAACCTCCCTTGTGGCACGGAAGAGTGCCATGTACTAAGACTCCACCGAGCTCAATGCTTGGTCCACTTGATTCTTGCTCTCCCAAGCTGTTGGGCCTCCACCAACACAGCAGATGAAGCCTCCCACACTTGTCATATCCTCTGGTTCTGATGCCCAAGATGCATCAGAGAAGGTGGTGAGAAAGAGCCTCCCGGGTTCGACTCCATCCGCACGCTTTTGACGCCTTTGTGCCGCCGCGGAGTATTGCAGTCCAACAGTTGCTGTTTGGCCAAGATACTTGGCCACCCTCTCTCCAGCTGCTACCTGCTCTTCATTAGGGCATTGGACAACCCTAGCCAGCTGCCCGGTAGCAAAGGCTGCATCCGGCCTTGTGTGAACGGCCGCATACATGAGGCTGCCCACCAAGGAGTGAAAACGCCGCCTCTCCTCTTCACCAACACTTTCCTCGGTTGGTCCTTTCACACACTTGAAACCCGAGGGTAGAGGAGTAGCCACATGACCTTCACCCTTCCCAAAGTTTGCAGCCAAGGCCTCCAAGTACTTCTTTTGATGCACTCGCATCCACCGCTTCTCCACATCTCGCTCAATGTGAAGCCCAAGGTAGTAGTTGACGTCTCCAAGGGTCTTGCACTTGAACTTGTCTTGAAGCTTCAGCATCACCTCCTTCACAAGGTCAGAGGAGGTTGAGAATATGAGGATGTCATCCACATAAACCACCATGAAGCTCCTCTGCTCCCCCTCGCCAAGCATGAACAAGGATTGATCGGCCGTTGAGGGAGTGAAGCCGATCGCCTCCAAGACCTCCCGCAGCTTGATGTACCATTGCCTAGGGGCTTGCTTGAGGCCATAGAGCGCTTTCTTCAGCTTCCACACTCTGCCACTCCCATCATTGTACCCCTCTGGCTGCTCCATGAAGGTCTCTTCCTCCAAAACGCCATTGAGGAAGGCCGTTATTATATCCATTTGCTTCACCACCCATCCTTTGATGGCCGCCGCGGCGAAGAGGGTTCGAAGGGTTGTACCCTTCACCACAGGGGCATACACTTCATTGTAGTCCTTCTTCTCTTGCTGCTGATACCCCTTGGCTACAAGTCTGCTCTTGTAGCGCTCGATGTTGCCGTCGGCATCGGTCTTGCGCTTGAAGAGCCACTTGGAAGAGATCGCCTTCCGCCCCGGAGGTAGGTTCACCAAATCAAATGTGTCGTTCTCTATGATGCTCCCCATTTCTTCATCTGAGGTCTTCTTCCACTCCTTCCCATTGGGGCCCTCCCAAGCCTCCTTGGGATTTTTAGGCTCCCCCGGCATCTCCACCGGAGAGAAGAAGGCAAAGGCGCACTCCTCGCTTTCATCTTCCGCATCATCGCCTAGCATGAGAGCCGAACCGGTCAAGGTTGAGTTGGCTGGTCCTCCAAGCCGGTCATAGCTCAACCTATTAGGGGGCTGAGTCCTCCTTCTCCCCCTTCCTTCCTCCTCTGCTGCAGGGACTTGAATGCTCTCATGGCGTTGCTGTAAATCTGGTCGGTTCCCACGAGCACTTGTAGCACGAGGCGGAAGTGACGGTGCACGCTCATCATCTTGCTGCACCTCCTCCTCCTCCTCATCCCCATTCATTTGAAGAGATTGTCTCGTGATTGTGCTGCTGCTACTCAGCTCCAAGGGCAGCTCCACATGCTCCAAGCCGGTACTCTTCACCTCTCCAAGGCGCACACCAATCTTTGCTTGGTTCTCCGCCTTCCACTCCTTGTACGGTAAGTTCTCCATGAACTTGCAATCTCTGCTCACCAAGAACTTCTTGGTAAATGGGCCCCAAAGAAGCCATCCCTTGCTGTTTTGAGCCATGCCCAGGTGCACGGCCCATGTTGCCTTGGCATCAAGCTTGTTGTGCCGAATTTTCTTAGGCACAAGTGCCATGCACATGCACCCGAACACCCGAAGCATATCCACCTTCGGCTTCCTTCCAATCCACTCCACATAGGGCACCCATTTGTCTTCTCCCACGTGAGTCAAGGCTCTGTTCTTGGCCACACAAGCATGCCGCACCGCATCCGGCCAAAAATAATTGGGTAGACCAGCTTCAATGAGAAGTCCCCGAGCTGTCTCCGTGAGTGTCCGATTCGCACGCTCGGCGATGCCGTTCATTGCAGGAGAGTAGGGCATTGTAAGAGAGTGCCTTATGCCCTGCTTCTTCAGCCAAGTTTAGAAGTCCTTGCTCAGGAACTCTCCCCCACGGTCAGTGCGAATCGCCTTCACAAGCCGGTGTTGTTGCCGCTCCACCATCGGCAACCAATCGGTCTTCACCGTTTCAGCCACGTCACTCTTCTTGGGCAGCACATACACCCAGGTCATGCGAGTGTAGACGTCCACAATGGTGAGGAAGTACTCAGCTCCAGCAGCTCCAAGCTTCAAGGGGCCCACCACATCCATCACCACCTCATCAAGTGGTGCCTTCGCCGTTGTCTCCGAGCTATGGAACGGGTAGCGGGTGAACTTGGCTTGCATGCATGTTGGACAGCCAAGCACCTCATTGGGCTCCCCCTTGACACGTATCCCACTGACCATCTCTTGCTTAACTATCTGCTGCAAGATGGGCAATGCCACATGCCCCATTCGCCGATGCAAGGTCAGCCAATCACACTCTCCCGTAGCGGAAGTCGGGTTGGAGAAAGCGGCAGTCGCAATCGTGCCCCACAAGCTCTCTCCTTTCTCCTTTGCCGCTGCTGCTTTGCTGATCTTAGGCTTCTTCTCCTCATTTCCACCATCTTTGGCTGCTGCACCACTCTCCTTGGGTTCTCACGCCTTGCTGGTCTCTCCAAGGTTGCACTCCTTCGAGTCACTCTTGGTGTCAATTTGTTTTCCGTGATCACCGCCACCAACCGCTTCACTCTTGGTGCTGATGCTTGCTGCCACTTGCCTCCCCTTAGGCATGGGGACCATTGGGATTTGCCACATCTCATTGTAAATGTCCCTGTCCTCATGAAGGTCCCAAAGCTTCCGCTCACCAAGCCTCGCGGTATATGTTTTGGAGCCCTTGGAAGATGTGTCCATGCCGGCCTTTTGCAAACGCCGAACAGAGATCAGGTTGGCTGCTAGGTTGGGCACCCAAAGCACGTTCTTGAGGCCCACCATCTTCCCATCTGCACCCTTGAACATGGCCTTGCCCATGCCTTTCACCTCTGCTCGCTGCCCCAAAGCCGATGTAACATGCTTGACCGGCGACGGTTCGAGTTTGGTGAGCAAGTCTGCACGAGGTGTCATGCTATAGGTGGCGCCGCTATCGATCACCCAAAAGTCCAGAGAGTGAAGGGTGACCTTTCCCACAGTAACTGGCTCCTCAAAGCCATCCACACCTCCTGCTGCAGCTGCCGCTTGCATGGAGACAAAGAAGAATTGGCCCGGGTATCGATCTTCACTCGAGTCCTTATCGTAGTCTCCACCTTTCATGCTTGCCGCTTCACCTCCACGACCACCACGGCCTCCACGACCTCTGCCTCTTCCTCCCCTTGCTCCTCTGCCCTCTTGGCCTTGAAAAGGGGTCCATCCATCAGGCAATCTGAAGCAATCTCTCCACATGTGGCCGGTCTTGTGACAAAAGTGGCATTCGCCATCAAATCGACCGCGCCCACGCCCGTAGCCATTGTTGTTGTTGTTGCTGCCATATCCTCCATTACCACGGCCTCCACTGAAGTTACTGCTGCCAAATCTTCCTCCTCGCCCTCTGCCCCTTCCACGGCCGTGCCCACGGCCCATGCTTGCAACTCCGGCACCATCGGGACCTGCCAATTCGCGTCGGCGGAAATGTTCTTGTAAGATTTCCCGCTTCACATCTTCGAGTGAGAGACGGGGCAGATCTCGATTAAGGTTGATGATGAGCGAGGACCATGAGTCCGGAAGTAAGGCCAGCAGCTTGGTCTTCTTTTGAGGGTCACTGTAGTTCAGATCAGCTCCTTCGAGCCGTGTCAACAAGTCGAAGAATTTCTGCACTCCTTCCTCCACCGGTTCGCCTTCGTCAATTTGAAGTGCCGCCATTTGCCGCTCCAAAACCACAGCCACCGCCGCTGTTGCAGGAGCGTGTACACCCTTGAGAGCAGCCCATGCCTTTGGTCCCTTTACTGGTTCACGCTGAAAAGGCTTGATGTGACGGATTTGGCTGCTCCCCAACGCTTGCCCAAGTAGAAGGTAGCCTTGTGCGCTCTTCCGCACCCACGGGCTCTTCTCCGGGTCGTTCTCGGGGCGCTTCTCCGTTCCTTCCATCACCTCCAGCAGATCATAGTGGTCAAAGATGTTCTCCATCTTGAAAGACCACTCAGCAAAGTTGTCACCGTTGAACTTGTCAAGGCCAAACACTCTAGGCTCATCCCTAGAGGGTCCAAGGCTAGGTTGCACTGGAGCAACGGGTGGATCTTGGTGTTGACCTTGTGCTTGGACGTCTTCTCTGCCTCCAGCACATTTGCCACCCTCTTCCTCAGGTCTAGGCATGGTCGAGACGGCTCCAAGGGGCTTTGATACCACTTGTTATAATCACAATAGGCTCAGATGTGCCTAAAATGAGAGAAATTGTCCACAGTCAGAATTCCGTCAGACAGCTTCAAATATTGATGCCGATCTGATGTGTGCCTCAAACGGTGATCTGTAAATTGAATCTGGAGCGCGTTGGTGTCGCCTATCAGCAGCAAGTTGAATCATAAAATTCCATGAAGATTTGACGATGCTATGGCGGTTTGACTGGCAAGAGGTATAGCAGCCACTACAGTCTTGGAAGTACAAACTTAGCAAGAAGAATTCGAGATAGAGATGGTTCCCAGCCTCTACATACCCCAAGAGTCGAGGTCCAGGTTGGTGGTACACCACCACAGAGTCCCCAACCATGAAGAGTCTCGAAACAAACCCTCCAAGGGGCTACACCAAGTGAAATGTAACACTACACGAAGTAGCGTTACTATTTTCACTATTAAATATTTATCCGTGTCCCTTGGGCTTGAAATCTTGAGCTCTTGGTCTTGGTTCAGCAAGATAAATTCTTCTTGAGTTGTTGGAGGCTTGCTGGACACACCTGCGATACGATGGACACTTCACACTCGACAATATAGAAAAAACACATGCGACACGCAAACGACGACTTGACATGCGAGTTGTGAAAACTCGCTAATGTCTTGACCGACACAAACCACATTGTGATACACCATTCAAACACACACACAAGCACTAGATAGCAATAACATAGACTCACAAGTCATTCCATGCCATGCATGCACACACACAAACAAGGACGACAAGCCGAGTGCAAGCCATAGGGTTGCACCAACAGATTCCAAGTATATGAGGTTAGAAAATTCGTTAAACAGCGAGCAACGGGTGGTGTGCGATCATATTGTCCATCATATTCGATTCAACGAGCATCCTTAACATCTTTTCATAACTAGAGGTGTAGGTGTTGGTAAATCTGTTTTGATAAATGTTGTTACTAAGAGGCTGTCTCGAATCTTTGACTCTTCCATCATGACAAGACCTTCTTCGATTAAGGTTTTGAAATTGGCTTCATTGGGTATTGCCGTTTTCAACATTGGTGGGTACACTATACGTAACGCATTAGTGATACCCGTTTCTCAGATTAGGATGCCTTTTAATCTATCCTCTAATCGATTAAATAAATTGACTTCTCGTTTGGCTGATGTCAAAGTCGTTGTCGTTGATGAAATTTCAATGCTCGGCAAGCATATGTTTCAATGGTTGGATTAGCGTTTAAGGGAACTCCGTGGTGAGTCATGTATACCATTCGGTGAGATACATGTCATTCTTGTTGGTGATATGTTTTTATTACCCCCTGTTGCTGATAGGCATTGTTTTGCCGAGAGTGCTTCACTGAATTCTATGGTTGAGAATGATGAATGGAGTCTGTTTGAGATGGTTGAGCTAACAACCATCATGCGACAAAGAGAGGAAATGGATTTTGCAAAGTGTCTCAATCGTTTATGTGAAGGTAAGCAGACAACTGACGATGTTTCATTCCTTACTTCGTTAAATCGTCCTAGTCGTGGAAAACTAGCAGTGCAACATATTTATTGCAGGAATATTGACATTGATGCACATAATAACAGTGTGTTTGATGCATCAGATAGGGAAAACAATGTGATACTGGCACACGATTCGCATCTGTTTGATAAATCAGCTCGTCGTGATAAAAGTCCATCAAGGTACGCTTCATTTGATCCAAAAAAACTTCAGACTTGTGTGCATTTTTGCACTTGTTTATCAGCTTTAAAGTCCATGTTGTACTGAATGTGGATACCACCGATGGGCTTGCAAACGGTACTCATGGGACCATTAAAGCGTTCACGCAGGATGAAATGGGTGAGATTATCATAGTTTGGGTGCTTTTTATGACGTGCGTGTGGGCACTAAGTGCGGCGTCATGGTCATCATTTGTACTTGAGATGGAATGTCTATACAATGTATACTCCAATCGTCAGGTGTAAGCGTAAGTTTTTTATCAACCGAAAGTGTGATGAAATATCGAGATCACAATTTCCATTATGGTCAAGTGCGGAGATTAGTGTGCACCCTAGTCAAGGCTGCACATTCGATTCCGTTGTTGTACATTTTTATCGAGCAATATTTCCCCATACAGCGTTTGTGGCGTTAAGTAGATTTAAGACTCATCGAGCTCTTTTTCTGGAAAACTTTTTGGCAAACTCTAGTCGAGTGCATAGCGAAGTTACCAAAGAAATGCAACGCTTACACAGGAGCCCAATAACGATTTATCCAGTTCCAGTAGAAGTAATTGCAACTCCTAGCACAAGCCAAATTTGTCTTCCATAATATACATACATTACAAAAACAATGCATCTTAACATCATTAATATCATTAAAATCGTTCGATTTTGTTGTTTTCACTGAGACTCATCTTTCACCAAGTGATTATCATGTTATTGCCTTTAAGGACCAATGTGTTCCGCCAAGATTGTCATTTCGGGGGAATGTGTTCCATTGTCAACAACTATACGTAATACTTTGATTGATCATGTATGGCCCGATCGTTCGAAATTGGAGGTTGATGTAAGAGTTGGTGAGACCTATTATAGTGATTATTTCCGTGTATTTGCTCTTTTAAAATGACTTGAGCTTTGCCTTGCAGACCGTCTTCCATGTGACCAGCGATCGCTCCTAGAGGTGAGATTTTATGCAAATGTTCATATCCACACTCAAGCATGTGACACACTTGCAACCACTTCCATAAGTATGAGCATAATGCTATGATTCTACTATCATTCCCAATGCTCAACGTTCGTTGTAATGTTTCTTTCATGACCATGATGTTGACTTTGGTACTCAACGTCTTGCTATATATGTTTTTGTGAAAATGTTGCTTTGTAGCTAATCTGATTGTTGTTGTTAACTACATTAAAATTTGATGTTATTGGCATTACATTGTTGAGCAGGTTCCAGCAATCAAGACCTTTGCTCAGCTTACGTCTCTTCTGCGTGAAAGCAAGGAGCCAACGAACTTCATGGTCGTCATTGGCGCGGAGCCTCATAACTTTGAGGGTGGTCATCGAAGGTTCCCTGCCAAGTTGTATCTGATGGACACTGCTGGCTCTTCGATCAATCTGAATTTATAGCCGAAGGGATTATGGACTGCGGTGAAATGTTCTGAGATTCTCGAGGATTTCGTCCTTGGAGCAACCTACGATGTATGCGCTCTCACCATCATGTTCCCTCCGCAAAAAGGGTAAGCGGTATATTGGTGAGTGATTGTTTTCGCATGTTGTTACATGTAAATCCTATCTATGATGCTGTGTAAATCATATTCGATTTACAATGTAGTCATGTACACTTGGGGTAAAACAGGGTGGATGCTAAAAAGAAGAGAGTTTTTACAAAGGATAGGAGACAATGGAAAGAAGTAACAACAGTACAATAAAGTGGCTTACGATTTTGAGTAGTACATACCTATAGTAGTGTCGAAGGCAACGATGATATGGTCACTTCGAGATGCCTCAGGCAACACGTGGTCGTGCTGACAACGGAATCCATCTAATGTGCAATCCCATTTGCAGGGACAACCTCAGATGGTATTGATCGCATCTAAAGACTTGTGCGTGCAGAGCCAAACTGTATCGACTGAAGTATTTCGAATGTCCACGCATATCGTGCACGTTCGTACTGTCCCGTTTGCGTATACATAATCCTCCACCCTTGCCAGGCTGAAGAAATGGAAATATAGAGGGACAACTAGATTATATGTTATTAGACCATGCAATGAAGCTCTTTTGTACATATCAACTCATCTAAATGCACTCATACATAGTCGTGATACAATCCAAATCATAGAACAAGTACAGCCCAAGCAACTTACAAACTGACAAGTTCGATGTCAGCATCAGTTGGTGCAGGGGGGGGTGTGGTACCCAAGGTGTGAGCAATCATGTTATCATCCATTACTTTGACAACCCTCCTTCTTGGACGGAGAAGGGGTAAAAGTTGCTCAGGGTTTCAAGTGCACGTTGATGATGACTAAGTACGTAACATGCGGAACGTAGAGTGGAATGCGAGCGCAATAAGCACAATACGGTAAATTTTATGACGTGCAAACAAATAATTGTAATCACATACCTCCTGGTGGTCACAATCTGCCCGTCCTTTACGTACAGCTCGGTGATCCACACCACAATAGGGGTCCGGGCCACCAGAACCCTTGTGATCGTCTGTTGTTCCCTCACAATCATGTTGATAACATCAGTCTTTGAGCCTAATGCCGTCAACCCGAACTGCCCACTCTGATCCCGCACGAAGCACATTGCTCGAATGAGATTGGCGGGCTCCACTTTTACCACGGTCAGCTCCATCATGAAAGAAGAAAGCTGGCGGTAGTGATTTGCGTGATCAGAGTACACAACAGTACAAGAACAAAGGGAAGCGTTCTCGATGCACCATGAATTCTTAATTTTACTCGATAAATAAGAGAATCAAGCAAATATAACAATAATAAGAGTTACAGTGACGGAAACAATTATCCGGATGTTTAGTCTTTTTTTTGCATTTTGATGAGTGCAGCGTCGTAATCATTAAGCCTTAATTTATGGTGTGCATACGCATTGAGAACATCAGTTAGAGCACTCATTCAAGTCTCCAAAAACCAGAGTAGTATAGTATATAGTCCTTAAACACCTAAGCATTTCATAAGAGCACATCCGGACAATTTGTACCAAGGACAAGCAGCAAACTAGAAACAAGAAAAAATAGTACCTAGTCCAGCGTCCCTTTGCGCGAATCACTGCCTTGATCCTTCTCGGCATACTTTCGATGAGGTTTGAGCACACCTCCACCGGTATCTTGTCCCATTCCTCCTGCACCCTCTCCCACAGTTCCAACATTCCACTAGGTGGTTTTTCGTACATCGCCAGCTCCCTTTTCAAGTGTGCCCACAGGTGCTCTATCGGGTTAAGGTCCGGGGAGGACAAGGGCCATTCCAGCACCGCATACTCCTGCTCCCCAAGCCATTTTTGCACCAGACAGGACTTGTGCTTGGGATCATTGTCGTGCTGGAAAATGACCTCTGAGGGGGGGAGCTTGAAAAAATCGATGGTCTGTGAGAGCTCATC